GCGAAAATAAATCAACGTGATACCCCATCTCCTCCGATCGCGGAAATCTCCCAGGTTCAGAATCTTTGAACTTGGCAGGTATGGATCACCATCGACCTGACAAACTATTTATGAAACACTAATTTGGCGTGAGTTGATATAGTTTCTGCCCACCTAACTTTCTGTCTCCCCCTAATCCGCTTACATTCTTTGAGAATTCAGTCAGTTACCGTCAATGACCAGTGGTTATCCTGTCTACGCGCTACACGCTCGGTTCATGCCCATTTCCTCTCTTGATTTCAACTCGATATTCTTAACCCGAGTTTGTTCACTGTTCCACTCTGCTCTCTTGTTGTCTCTTAAAGTTACGTTATCATTTTCCTTTTTATTTCTCACTTCGTCGTCTCCTATTTAAGCTGAACTCTCTTTGTAAACCTCCAAGTATCTGCTTTGCAGGTAAGTACCGGCAAGATGCAGCTGTTATATACGTTCCTCTTGAGGGACAGTGGCAATTTACCAGTCATGGTTTGAGAGTGCTTCACAAATGTGCTCCACTCATTCTTATTGTTCTATCGTGGTTTGGCTCTGCAGTTAGCAGAAAGTTAGGTGGGCAGATGAGATTAGGAAGTTTGCGGGCACAAAATGGGAGCAGCAAGCAGAGGACCGAGTTTACTGGTGGATCATGGGAGAGGCCTTTGTCCTGTAGCAGACGTAGTCAGGCTGACTGTGATGATGATATGGTTTCTTTTTTCAAATTTGCATGGGGAATAAAGTTTTACCGTGTCAAACCACAAACAAAGTGAGAGACTTGTGATGCTTTTCGGTACTGGCTCTTTCCCTCTTGTGCATGCGGTGAAGCTAGTGAAGCTAAAATGCGCATTAGACATGTTTGTTGAAATTGCATAATGCGTGTACTGTATAAGTACAATAAGAATAATTCAATTTCAAAAATTTTAGTGCAAAAAATTTCAACATTGCGTGCTGCTTTTATTTTATGAAAAACCTGTGACAGGTCCTGTAAAGTTCTTGAATATCCTTGAATCTTCACTTTGAAAACCTGTACAAACCTATCTATTGGCCGCAATTGCTACAGGCATCATCCTTTTGGCATTGTGACAGCACTTGAATGATGAAGTACATACTGTGCAAACTCAAGATGGGTACACAAAAGAACGTACTTAATTATGCAAAACCAACTAGCTCAAAGTTTCACTCTGCTAAACACCTGAATGATTCCAACACTTCATGTTGAGAGTGCTTAAAGGCATCACTGGAATCATCAACATGGTATACAACATATGCATTTTCGGATCGAACTTTAAAGAGCACGACCAGTGTCTAGATGATGTCTTGGCATGATTAACTCAAGCGGCAGTCAAAAGCGGGATTTGCTTCAAGTGTCTTCTACCAAGTTCTTAGGAGTTGTCGTCAGCTAGAAGGGAGGTTGTCCAGATGCAGACAAAGTCGAGGCTGTAATGGACATCCCACCACCAGTCGATGTCATTGGTGTTTGCCGTTTACCTGGAATGTTGAATCGTGTGGCTCGATTTATTCCAAACCAGTCTGCAATCTCTGCACCTATTTGTGCTCTCCTCAACAAGAACTCCTGGAGTGGGAGTTCAACTTAGAGCAAGCATTCAAGAACATCAAATCTTTGCTCAGCGCCGACATATGTGTGGCTATGTACAATTCCCACTACCCAACTAGTATCAACTGACGCAAGGTCTTGTGGCCTTGGCGTCATCTTACGCGAAGATCAACAGTCAAAATTTGTACGTGCTGTTGTCTATGCTTCCAGGTCTTTCACTTCTACAGAGGAACGCTGCAGTCAAGCGGAAGAAAGAGTCTCTGGCGGTCACGAGGTTCGACCAATACCTACATAGACTAAGCTTTAAGTCGAATCCGATCACCTTCTGCCCTCCTTTCAAGTAAAGATCTTGCCTCCTCGAAAGGAGCAGGTACTCCATGAATAAAAACTGACGAGCAATCAGTCCTTCGTCAAGTATACTCCTGGAAAACTGCTAGCTGACCCACTATCAAGAGCACTCTGCGACTTGCCAGCTTGGAAAAGCGAAGTTCTTGTTGATCCACAACTGGCAAATCTGCTTAACGAGATCTTCTTGCTCAAGATCGTAACTGTTCTTCGATTAGGAGCTATCGTGAGCGAGGCTAGCCATCCTAGAATAGAATTTGGATCCATTTAGCGCCCTACTGAAAGGACTTGGCATGTACACTCAAACCTCATTACTATAATAAAGTTGCATCTTACACACAAACAAGTTTGTTATATCTGAAAATTGGTTATGAAGGTTTATTCCTAACACTACAGCTATTGAAAGACTATTTTTCATTTACTTTGTTATAACTAATATTTCATTATATTGAGGTTAGAATGTACAATTGGTTGCCAAGTTCTTCTGGATTGCCAAATTTCATTTATTTACAGTACTGTCAGCGTATAAATACATTGCTGAAGGGATGAGAGATCCATAGCAAAAAAAAAAAAAGATGGAAAAGGAAACAGCATAAAGATAACAGTAGAATGGAAGCATTGGACAAAATAATTACAAAAATTTTGCAGAAGACATTAGCTAACATTTAGTGAAGTAAGTTAAAAACAATGTGTAATGTTACAGCAAGCTTGATAGTCTAAAAAATGGCATGAAAGGGAAGATGAAAGCTTATGATAAAAAATCAGTAAACAGGGGTTGTGTCGAGCCAGCGTTTTGACAAGCAGACTTGTATTCTTCTCAAAGGCTAGAACAGAACTGATTTCTCTAGCACCAGCATGTCTATGCTTCGCATCCTCTCCTCCATCCTCAGAAAGCAGCGGGAGGGGCAACATCAGATGTGCGGGTGTGAGAGAGCAGGAAACGGATTGTGCTGTGACGAATTCTATGAGTGAAAAAGGAGCAGGTACTCCATAAATAAAAAGAAAATAAGGAAGAGATGTGGGGAGGTGAAAATGTACACATGTCGCAGAGTACCGGTTGTTGAACCAGTTGTCAGAAGTTAACGTTGGTAGGTTTGAAATTCTGAGAGGGAAGGATTAACTTGCAGTGGCTTTCTTTGTGTATGTGCCATACCGAAGGAATTCAAGAGCCTCTTTAGAAATATTTATATTTACTGGCTAGTGTGTATTGAACTTGTGAATAAGGTACAACACTGTATATTTTATGTCTCTTGCAGACCGGGAGTTTGACTGAAGTGTGTAGAGTTTCATATCGTCAAAGTTCTGCTACATTAAAATGCTCTGCCACTGCTTTATATAATTGCTTTGCTGTGTTCGCACGATAACCGTTTAATCTGGACATAATCACTAACGTTGCTTTTAAGCTTGATAAGCCCTTTCAAATGCAGTTGTAGTATCAGTTTTGAAGGTGCGTAAGTGGTTCCAATGTCCTGCTCTTCTGGAAACAAATAATTGAGAGCCTGCAGTAGTTGAGAAATACCTAATGATGATGATCGTGAAATGAAGCTGGGTGTACAAACAAGGAACGAAGTCTTTCTACGTGTTGCTTTTAACGTGTTGCTAGGGAAGTTTTCTTGTTTCTGACATTAGCATTGCGATTATAATTAGATGCAATAAAGCGAGCAGAGTGATGATGCACTGCCTTAATGCTCAGTATTAATGTAGAGCTATGCGAGTCTCGGAAATATGGTCATCCCGTCAACTCGCGCTGCTCTACGAAGGAGATCAAGGGGTCTGCTGCTGTCAAGAACGGGCCGAGAGTGTGCTTGGTGGCCCCAATTGCAACAAGTATATCGATGACCTTGTGGCTCAATGTGCTGAGTGTGCTGAGACTTGCGCCGAATGTGCCGAATACCAATGGCAACTCAGGAAAGAATATATGGCAGCATGTGGGAATCGACTTGCTCCACTTGGAAAGACACGACTATGTCCTGATCATCTACTACTACTGCAGATTTCGAGGAGTAGTCACACTGGGAACTATTTTGGCAGAAGTGGTCGATGCCATGTTCAAGAGTAGTTTTGCTCGCTTTGGGACAGCATACTCCATGCAGACGGACAATAGAGCTCAGTTTGCCTTCAAGGAGTTTGCTGACCTTGAACTTGCGTATGGATTCCACGAGATCAGCAACCCTCGATACCATCACGCAATGAGGTAGAGCACATTGTCCGGACCGTGAAGGATTTGCAGAAGAAAATTTGGGATTCGTAGCTTGTTTTGTTCACTTACCCATAGACACCTGGAGTTTATGGCATCTTTCCAACAAAATTTCTTATGAGAAGAAGACTACAAACTTGTCTTCCGGTTCTGGCCTTACCATATTTCAAGGAATTCCAAGCGCATAATACTGCAGCAAAGTGTCAACAGGCAAAAGACTAGAATCGCCATCGCAGTGCTACTTTGATTTCTCCTCATAATGTAGAAGAGGACGTGTGAATTTTGATTGCAGTCCAGCTCAGCGACCAGGATCGTACATGGTTGAGACTCCCAGCGGAGTTGTGCGAAGGAACTGCCGCTATCTGGCGCCGTTAGTAGGCGACCAAAACGTCCAGGGATAGAGTGCAGTTGCCTCGCCACCAATGCCAGCAACTTTGTCGTCAAGTCCTGCAAAAGTCCTGCCTCAATGTCAGCGCCAGAAACATCATCACCAAATTAATCATGCACATCACCTGTGCAGCCTGTGGTGATGCCTCCCCCCTCGCCTGAAGTGCAGAATCTACCTGTGCAAGTAAATGTGCCTCAGTGTCGTGAACCTTGGTGTGCGTTGTGGTCGTTTTGTAACTATCCCAGCAAGAAAGATGTAGGGGACGCTATGTGTGCTTTGATTATCAGCTAAGGCATCAAGCTGATAGCATCTGAGTGCCACCTGGCATCAAGGTTGAGGGGCTAATAAAGAACTTGTTGTTACAGCAAACTTGTGTTTTTATTCGGCGTCACTGAATGAAGAACCTGTCCAAATTTAGTTCGAGCTGACATTTTCTTTTGTTTGCACACTTGTATGACTTTGTCAAAGCATCGGGCTCATTTCCTGGTCACTCCACGATGCAGATAATGCGGGATCCAGACACGGGCAACTCCAAGGGGTATGCTTTCATCAACTTTGCCAGCTTCGAGGCGTCGGATGCAGCCATTGAGGCCATGAATGGTCAGTACCTCTGCAATCGGGCCATCACCATCTCCTATGCCTTCAAGAAGGACTCCAAGGGCGAGCGGCACGGATCAGCAGCAGGTCAGTTATTGGCTCCAAGGTTTTCAGAATAAGGAACACTTCAGTGAAATATCATAAGCTGCCTTTTCCACACAGAAAATCGTCGTTAGATTACAGGAGGGCCACTAAACCACCCTCAAGAGCCAAGATTTATCAAGAAGAGATAACTGCATTCTTATACAATGTGAGCATGCTGCTGCATGAATTTCACAAATAAGTACTGTACTAATAATAAGCAAGCTACAGAGGAAAGAAGACTCTTATGTAACCTTCTTGCTCAGCCTCCCTGTCCTCTACCATTAAGTTTTTACTTTGCTCTTTGAAGGTTAGAGCAGGCCAGAACATGCAAGTAGGTCCAGCTAGAAGGCTGTGAAAGCAGTACGTCAGCTTTAAGCTTGTAGACAAATCTGGGCACTTCGCAAAGGTCTGCTGTTGTCTAGGTGAAGCATAATTTGTGTTCAGAAATACATTCTGCATATTATCAGGCATGCTTGCTCTTTCTATGCTTATTACAAGGTAAAAGGAGTTGACACTGAGAAGCAGCGCTGCCTTCGGAGCGGCCAATGGAAGTGATGTCAAGCCATGCGTGCAGGGCAAGTGTTAGCATACGGGCTTCTCAAAGAATGTTTCGAAGAATAGGCTCTCACTTGTTTGGCAGCGCGTAATCTCTCTTGCCAGCCGCTGTTTGCACCAAGCATCGCATTGACAACTTCTCAAGCACTGCAGATCAAGAACGTCAGATAAAATACGGTGTAACAGTGCACCGTGAGTATTGTGCTTCACTAAAGAGGGCCACGAAAATTGGTGTGAACTAAGCAGCTTAGACAAAAAGTGCAGTGATCTGAACTGGATGGCACTGTCCTAATGTGTGATGGGTGTAATAAAAACTTGTCAGGCAAGGAAAAAAATCATGGTTGAAGAAAGCGTACGCTCGTCAACTAACGAAATAGCACAAAACAAGAGAATGGACATTTCGGTGCTTATTACGGGTGTCTTATTCACAATAAACGTATGCATGGTAGCCTCCATCACTTATATATCTGTCGAAACATGCAACACGCTTGTGTATACCTTAGGGAATGAACCCCATGTCCCATTTATCGTTTTAGTTGTATAGTTGTAATTCTGTTCTAAAAAATTTCATGAGCAGGCTGGATGATAACCTTTTCTCCTTTTGATGATTGAAGCTGATTGGCAGTCAAGGCAGTGTCCACTTTTTTTATGACGCTCTGAAGGGCGTCCAGAACTGTGTGTCCTTTGGCTGCATGATTATAGTACTGCTGCAGTCGTCTTTGAAAGTGTCCTATTGAAAGCGTCCTAATGTGTGTGTGTGCAGAGCGTCTACTAGCTGCACAGAACCCTCTGGCTCACTCGGACCGACCCCATCAGCTGTTTGCCGATGCGCCCCCCGTGGGTGGGCTTCCCCCGCCACCATCCGTGGTTGGCCTTGCCCCGCCTCCCCCTGTGTCTCTGGGAGCCATGCCACCTCCACCTGGTAGGTTCATCCTGTGTGTGCGCCCACTCGGGGCAAAACATTTGGTAAGGATTTCCTATTGGAACACGTAAATGAATGTGAAGGCTTCATTTTTTAGAACTTCATGCCAAAAGTTGAGTACCTGAACATCATGGATTTCATGTCTTTTATATCTTTAGTCCCATAAAATATTCCTGAAACTCACCTTGGGAAGTTCCCCATTTTTTACAAACACAATGTGATTCGTTCTTAGTCTTCACTAGCATCTTGATGATGCATATTCGAAAGAAGCACGAAAAATATTGTAATTAATATCATCCGGAATTAGTATGAACCAAAAGCAAGTTAAAGATGATTATGAAGATGAACAAGAACTTTATTGGGGTCAAAAACTACTTGCTGGACAATGTCCATGATGTTCATTTGAACTTTCCTGCTTTCAGCACCTCTCAATAAAGTGCCGTGGTTTCCTCACTCATGCAGGCGTGTTCACACTTGGGATCAAAGCGAGTGAAAGCGGCAATACTCATTGGATGGCAATTCACTCGCTTCACTGCTTAAGTGGCCGGTAAAATGCGCTAAGAAGTTGACAAAAGGAAAAACGAAATCCGTTCTGGAGAATTCACATGGGATAATTCAAGCAAAAATGCCAGAGCGGCCACAAAAACCACGTCCATGCCAGTCAAAAACATTCACATTCGGTTGGCCCCTCATGCATGCCACCACCGCTTGAGAATTCATTCCATTTTACTCCTTTCCTGAGTATTAAAACTAAACGCCTAAAAAGCGCCTTCTGCACTTTTTTTGCTGCTCAACAAAACGTCGAAAGTGTGACCGCATGGCTTGAGCGTAATCTGCGCGTTTAAGATAGGTGCCGCGTTTTTGAGCGCTTGCTCATATCTGTGGACAACCCAGCAGCTAACTTACTGCTTCGGGTGTGGAGATGCATTCAGCTGTGGAGATAGTGATGGCTTCATGGGTGGCGGTGATGGCTACATGTGTGCAAAACTGCTTTCGCAAGGCCAACTTTGTTGATGTCGCGCCTGATGCCGAGCCTGAAGCTTCCAAACAGGATCACTCTGGCGGCGATTTGTGGTAGCACGTCATCGACTCCGGAAGGGCATAGGAGACATCTGTTGGGATGATTTCATTACGGCTGATGATGATGCCGACACTGCGGAACCGTGCACAAATGAGGGCAATGTGAATAAAGTGCACGGCAAGAGTGATTTGGAGGAATTGGATGGCGAGGATGACGAAACTTACGAGCCAGTGCCCACAAGCGTGCTTATAGCAGTTGGCTACATTAATAGCCTCCGGCAGCTTATGCCGCGGGCCTCTGCAAAGAGCACAGTGTCGCTTTAAATAAACTCTAGACCATATTTATTGCTTCCGCTGTTCGAAACACATGCATCACGGGCTTTTTAGGGGTAAAACAAATTGTGTTTTTACTCGCAACTTTTTTTGAAGCTGTGTTTCATTTACTACGAAATTCGGGATACAGTGGATACAGTGGATTCGGGTTCACTCGCTTTGATGGGGCGTCACGCTCAAGTTCGTTATAAGCAGGCTAGACTGTATTGCTTTTCATTGTCATGTTGAATCTTTAAAGTTTCTTTACACTCTCTTTTACTGGCTACGAATTTTTTTACTCAGTCACTACACCACAACCGTCAAGCTAACTTCCATCATTGTGAGTTGAACATGTTTTATTCACTGAACAAATTTTAAAAAATACTGTTCTTTTTGTCTGCACGTTTGAAATATGGATGGTCTTGCCTCACCATAATAAATTTTTATGCAGTGATTAATGCATTTTGCACATTAATAATCATTGATTCTCATGATCTGTGCATTTCGCGCGTACAGACGAACTCCGCTACAACGAACGCCGCTTCAACGAACGCCGCTTCAACGAAAAATTCATGAATCCCCGTCAGCAGTCCAAAGGAGTCAGTACAGTCGACTCCCGGTAATTCGAAGTCGCTTAATTGGAAGTTTCAGTTAATTAGAAATGAGCAAGTGGTCCCATCAGTTTTGCATCCAATCGTATAGAAAAAAATGCTCGATAATTCGAAGTTAAAAACCCATAATATTGGTTAATTAGAAGTTTTTTCAATCGACAGTCTCGTCGCGACCGTAATTTTACAGTAAAATGGGGAACTTTTCATATGCCAAAACATCTGCCGGACCGCGCTGGTGTCTTCGCCATCACTACTGTCCGCAGCGCCACAGATCTTGAAGCGGCAATCTTTTTAACGCTGGCGAATCGCATCGGCGGCATCGACTGACTCTTTAGTTGACTTTTGTCGAGACTCGAGTGTGTCACCGCGTCACCCGCGCGCTGGGTTGATTCTACACAGGTTTCCGCGCTTCTGATTTTGAGTGTTGTGGTGGTAACGTACGTTTGATAATGGCAACTCGTGGCCCTTACCGAACGCTAGACCTAGTGACGAAAGTCGAAGTCTTGAAGGAAGTTGACCAGGGAGGCACCGCCAAAGAAGACATTGCAAGAAAGTACGGCATTAAGCCTAACACGCTGTCGACTTTCATAAAGAATAAGCGCTCAATAGTGGATGCGTTTGAAAGTGAAAAATTCAAGACATCGCGGAAGCGGATACGCACCGGCGCCTACCCCGAGTTGGAGGAAGCACTGCTGATTTGGATCAGAGAGGCACGAAACAACAAACTTCCTCTCAGTGGTGAAGTCGTCACGGCAAAAGCGTCATCGCTTGCTGAAATGTTGGGCATCAACGACTTCGCTGCTTCGGATGGGTGGCTTACGCGTTTCAAACATCGCCACGACTTGATTTTTAAAAGCGTGTGTGGGGAGAAGGCGTCAGTCGATGAGGAAACGTGCCTGACATGGAAAGCGGGCAAGCTTCGCGAGTACCTCGAAGAATACCAGCCGGCAGACATTTTTAATGCAGACGAGACTGCGCTTTTTTATCGGCTGCTACTTGACAAGACCCTGACATTTAAAGACGACGACTGTTCTGGAGGCAAAAGAAGCAAAGAGAGAGTGTCAGTGCTAGTCGCGGCGAACATGACTGGCACAGAACGGTGTCGCCTGCTTGTGATCGGGAAGGCTGCCAAGCCTAGGTGCTTTAAAGGCGTGAAGACGCTTCCTGTGGATTATGCCTCGAACAGAAAGGCGTGGATGACATCCGATATATTTAAGGACTGGATCACCAAACTCGACCGCAAGTTCGCACAATCAAGCCGTAAGGTGTTGTTCCTTGTGGACCAATGTAGTGCCCACATGAACATACCTGCCTTGAGTGCCATCCGTCTTGTGTACTTGCCTGCAAACACGACGTCCGTGTTGCAGCCCATGGACCAGGGCATAATAAAAAATGTGAAGGTATTGTATAGGCAGCATCTCGTCAAGCGCATGCTTTTGTGCATGGACAACTCGTCGCAATACGAGGTGAGTTTGCTTAGTGCCATCAACATGCTAGCGCGAGCTTGGACCCGCGTGAAAGAAGAAACCATCGCCAATTGTTTCCGGGCCTGTGGTTTCATGGAAAACTCGGGGGATGCTTCTCCTTGTGCGCCAGTGGAAGTGCAAACAAATGAGCTCGACGACGGTAGCTTTCGCGCCGCTCTCGGTGACGTCCGTTTTGACGAGTATGTCGCTGTGGACAGCAACGTCGAAACATGCGGTCCACTAACGGACAGCGAAATCGTGCAGATGGTTCGGCCCCATGACTGCATTCCTGAAAATGACGATGATGACGACGACATCGGAAATGAGCCACCACCGAGGGCTGCCGATGTAGCTGCGGGTCTTGCTCTTGCGCAGCGGTTTTTTGTTGGAGAACACAACGCCGAAGAAGCACTTCGACACGTGTATTCCTTACAAAACTTGCTAGCCGCAGCCAGATTCGGCAAGCAGAAGAAGATGACAGACTATTTTTCCTCAAAACTGTCGCGCTTTTAAACTAATAAAAGTGCCGTTTTTAGTGCTTTTTGCTTAATTCGAAGTTCGTTTAATTCGAAGTTTTTTGCGGTTCCCGTGAACTTCGTATTAACGGGAGTCGACTGTACATAAATATTGTCGCCACAACGAACACTTTTTCTTTTGTCCTGCTTCAACAAAATTTCACGGTGCTATTCCAGGCTCAGATGCTATGCACTAAACCCAATCTTTAACTCTTCGATGCATTTTCAGAGAGAGCCTGAAAATGCGTCAACGAAGTCAAAAACACGCGTTGGCACCACCAGAAACCGCCACTGTTCAGCAAGCATGGGCGTCGCCATTGCTCGATAGCGATGGTAATGAGACTGCCCTGATTTTGCCTCTGGCTTGCTTTTGGGCCGCAGACGATCCGAAGCTGAAGCTCAGTCACTCAGTTCATGGTTTCCTCAGTTGCTGGGTGAAACCGCGGAACGATGCCTTTTCCGGTGCTTATCATTATGTTTGCGCTTGACCAGTATGGTAACTAATCAGAGTGGCTGTTCGTCCGCATTATCAACAAAATCAGCTAACCGCGAGTGGTAGATGATAAGAACGGCATAGAAGTTGCCGCCCCACGATACCCTGCCTCCATCTCGGCGGTGTCGGATACACGTTGACGGTGGACAGCTGCTGGTGTTAACGTGTTAATGCAACTGTTTGGTTCATTCACGAAAGCGGTTTTAGGCGTTGTTTCAGCATGCTTTTCACCATGGCCTTGTTATGCATTGGTGAGAATCACGTCGTGACGCTGCTGGGAAAGAATAGGAAGCAGCAGACACTTTTTGAATTCTGAGAATAAACGTTCCTTTGTTTCGCCTTTTATAAGGGTATAGTGCACCACGACAAAGACACAAAAAGAGAGATGCACACACACACACAGCGCTAACTTGTAACTATTCATATAGTTGCAAGTTAGCGCTGTGTGTGTGCGTCTCTCTTTTTGTGTCCTTGTCCGTGGTGCGCTATACCCTTATAAATGATGAACCCCAACCAACTAGCCCGACAACGTGTCTTAGCAAATTTTGTTTGGCTAGCTCAGATCAGCTATATTTTTTCGATTTCACTGCAACAAAATTTTCACTTCAACGAAATTTTATCCGCACCCCGTCGGTTTCGTTGTAGTGGGGTTCCACTGTATTACAATTTTTCTATTCTGCCTCCACTCGTGTGATAGCCCTTCAAGGCTGCAGTATATTGAAATAAATGAAGTAAATAAACATTGTTTTCGCTCTTGTTCTCATCACCGTTTTCTTATCATGAATATGGATTTTATCGGTTGTAAGTTCAGCTGATGTTCAAATGTTAGGGAAGCATGTACGAGCAATCCTCGGCGACTCCGTACCATCGGCCACTAGCGTCGCATTTTTCTCTGTCACTGCGTTTCTTTGGTGCAGCTTCCGGAGCTCACCATGAACATGTAACCACGAAGTTAAAGGCTATGGAAGAGCCGCATAGCAAGTGTGCAGACGGAGCCACTCAATGGAACGAAGGCAATGAGGCAAAACGTGACGGGGAAAACAAGTACAAGCGATGGTGACAGGGCTGACAAACATTTGAACAGGGCAGGCGCATACACAGGTGCTCTGATGATGATAGTAGTGGTATGTGCAGAGCTGGGCATTGTTTCCACTGCTGCAAGTAGCTATGTATTATGTTGAAGTGTTGCAGAGATACAAGGGTGATTTTTGCAATGGTCAATTATCTGAAAGAATTACGAATGTTTAACGAGATGTGACTGTATTAGTGTTTTTCTGCTTGCTACGTTTTGCTGATCCGATGTTGCCATTTCAGGGGGTTTGCCAATGCCACCATTGCCCACTCTTCCGCCACCACCGCCCATGCCTGGCGGCATGCCTCCGATGCCGCCACCTTTCCGACCAATGCCACCGTTCCCACCCGGCGGAATGGCCCCACCACCACCACCTTCCAGTAGGTGTTCATTCACCACCTTCCAGTAGGTGTCTGTGCCGACCATTGCCGTCACAGTGAACTGAACCGTTCAGGTGTTGTCATTTCTGCACTGGGCATCATCAGTGTGCAAGTTCAGTATAGACGAAGTCTAATGCCAGTATGGTAGCCGCTGCAGACTTGTGCTACAAGTCTGCCCGAAAAGAGCCATCTCCTGCTACAACATTGCTAAACTGGTGGCACTGCCACGGCAACAACTGCTTGCTACGAAACCATGTAGTGTTGATTCTTCTTGAACCAACAGACTCTCCAGCCATGTCTAGTCCTTAGTTTTCAGCTTAAAAGTGGCCCTTTGTTTTTAAACTCATCCGATCTCTTCTTCAGGGCATGACTGTCCGGCCAGCTTTGAAGCTGGCACTTTCTAAGTGGTTGTCTCCCTCTAAACAGTTCTTCTTGTTGCTTTCTTGTTGCCAAATTTACCCTCTTAATTGACCTCCCTCGCAGTGGGCATGCCTCCGCCTCCACCGCCGATGCACCAGCCGCCATTTGGCATGATGCCTCCTCCGCCAGGGGCACCTCCACCACCAGACAGGATGCCGCCCCCACCACCTTCGCAGATGGGTGAGTTTCCAGCTCATTCAGTTTACCCTTGTGGCAGCATGATGTAATGGTTTATTGCGTGGCTTTAGCTGATACGTTCGCTTATCTGTGCTACCATGTTGCCGGATACTGGAAGAAATCCCCATATACACAGACTTTTATGGAACATTGACTTTTATGGAACATAAAATACTCACCCAATATGCTTTACATTTACAGCACTATCTTAAGTCCACCTTTGTTTGTGGATGCGCACGGTATCCTCTTTATGTAGACTTCAACCACTAAGTCTAAATAAGCCAAAGTGCGAGTGACCGGTGATCGAAGTGACATAGAATACTAAAGCTGTAAACGTGAGAGGCATAAAGCCCTCGACACGCTGGATAAGAGGTGTGCCAGTTTATCGGGGTCAAGGTCAAACAGGCAAGCACAAAATTGTTATCACAGAGACAACATGCATTCTAGTTCTGGTTTAAATGCCCTGCCGTGGCATAGCATGTTTATTCTACCTTGATTCTAAGCCAACCCCCAAAAGCCTAACGCCCTAGGGGGGGGTGGGGGGTGGGAGGGAACGAAACAAAAACTCACCTCGAATGCAGGCCAAACAAAACAGTGTTCACATAAAGAAAACATTTATTGAACATGAAGATGAAACAAAGCAATTGGTTCGTTACGCAAATAACTCTAAAATAAAAGCATACAACCGCTAGTCCTGTTGTGTGTGCGCGCTGCTTCTAAATAATTCCACCCTCATTCCGAGCCGTTGTCACTGCTTTGGTCATCGCTGTCTTCAAACAGTGCGCAATCCTCGGTGCCATGAAGCACATTGGGTATGCCTGACTTCTTGAAAGAGTGCATAATCAAAGTTTCTGGGTTGTCTTCCCACACTGCAGCCCCTCCAGCAACGCACATTTTTTTCGTCCACTCCATAGTCCCGCTCGGCTCGAACCTTGGACGAGGACTTCACGGCTAGGATTACTTTTCTTTTATAAGCAGGTCTATAATGACACTGCCTGTTTGGCCCCATTGAGCTACGCCACACACAGGCCACTTTAAGCACGACTCGAAATGACAAATGGTGACCTCACGTGTGTGCCTAAGCCTGGTGTTGGCTTGGCTACTAACGGCTATAATACCGTCTAGGTGGCGCTGGTTGTACACCACCTTTTTCAATTAAAAATGGCACGTTTTTCAACATCCTCGATTCCAATCTAAGTCAATCCTTTAGTTTGATCCAAAGAAATTTAAAAAAAAAAACTATATTGGCCTAGATTCGAGTAAATACGTTCACCAGCCCCAACCAACTAGCCCGGCAACGTGCCTTAACGTATTGCTACGGGGTGCCACAAATCAACATTATAGGAAAGAGGACGATGTTTAGGGCGAGCTTGTGCAGGCTGGGCTCCATATTGTATACCTGCCTGTTTACCTAAAGTAAAGGTATTTTTCAGAAGCCTTCTCCCCGTAACATTTTGGTGGAGGTGCGGGGTAGTCTCCGAAGAATCCTCGTTCTCTTCTTGATCAGGCATCGCACAGGCAGCCAAGGAACGTCCGCTGCGTAGAATCGTCGTGGATGTTGACTGTGGGAAAACCCGTGGGAATACGAGAGTATGTTGAGGGGAAGCGTAACAAAAAAATGTGAAAGTTTATTTTTAATTTGACAACTTTGGGATGTTCGAGTAGATTCAAATAACAAAATTGCAGTGCGAATTGAATAGCAAGCACTATTCGAAATATATTCAGAATTTCGAACATTCGCGCCCCTTACTTTTTAATCATTTTACTTTTCAATCATAAACACTAGACGATATATAACCAACATGTCCATAAATGTTGTTACACGAAGCGTCACAACACCATCGTCCAGTAATTTGGTATTTTTGCACCCCTTTACATATATCGAGATACCTTACACGCTAAAAACCTGTCTTATAAGTTTGCTGCAGTGATGATTCAATTTTATCTAAATCAAGTATAGTTTAGATGCAGTTAACATCACCATTTAGAAAGGGTAGCTTGTTGGTGTAACATGTTCATAAAGTTAAGCACAGCACTGAATTGACGAGGATGGGACAAGGAGGACAAGCGCTCCAAATAAATCATTGGTAATTGTTTGTTAACCCTGTCAGTTCAGTGCCACGCTTAAAACCATTCAGTTGTTTGCACGAACAAGAAGGTTTATCTGTAACAGTGGTTCTCAACCATGGATGTGTCGGGGACCCCTGTGGACTCGTGGAAGTGATGGGGACCCCTTGCAGCTGAGGGGAGGGAAGAGGGAGGGTACATAAGTAAATAATACAACTGGAGCGGGAAACAGGTGCCTTTTTTGCTACCAAAAACATCAAACAAACGTGTCACATCACTTCATTTTGGACAGTTCATCAATACGTGGCACAATCACGCTTAAAGAAAAATGTGGGTGAGGGTTTGGCGAATCATAGAAATGGCTTCGCTGACCCCCATTTGAGAACCACTGGTCTTGAAGTACACGTTGTTGAGCTAGTCAGTTTGTGTTCAGTTCAGAAGCCACAAAAGTGGTTATTCTGCACAAAGAAGCAACGAGGGAAGTGTTCTAGGGGAGTGCAAAGTTTCCGCTTTTTAAAGACGATAGTCTTTCTAGACGACATTCGACGGAAAAATTTTGGTCTGTCTGTTCGTCTGTCTGTCTGTATATTTGTCTGTCTGTCCTAACGATACCTCGGACGGCACCAAACGGCCAACCCCATCCACAGCGGCCACCAATATTGCTCAAGGTTTAGTGTTCATAGTTGTGCGATTGTCAATTAAAAAGCAATTATTGCGCATATCTGAGACGCCACAACAAGCTTCGATGTTTTCTATGTCTGCCTTTATACTAGAAGAGGCACACACAAGTAACTCTAAGGAATGCAGCATTTAATCACGCTGCACTGACAGTGCAACGTGATGCTCAAAAAGGTGTTTCCAACGCTTTGCTACGATGTCACGGTGGCGGCACCTGCCCGACGCTTTGCGTTCTACACCTTATCACCTCTGAGACTGGCGCGCATCTTTCTCCGCGGGCTGCACGACTTCGTTTTCGTAGACAACTGCCAGATGGCGCTTGTGTCTAACGTGCCTCGATGTGCTCATTCGCCTCCGCCACACGCTCGAGGCACTCTAAAACGCAGCGCCTGCAGAATAGTATTCACCGATTTTTTTGCGTAGATCATCAAATAAACGTTTTGTTCACTCTCTCCAGACGCAAGACTATCGTCTTTTGATGACATTTACAGTGTAACATGTAGATTCGGGCAATTTTTTATTCCAAAATTACTGCAGCACAATATATATTCAAAGGCATGCATGGAAAGCAAGGCACACATCGAACAGATGACACTTGGTGCAGTGTAATACATACTGTAGATAAAGAAATGCGCGAAAGGGAAGGCCCACATTGATCGGATAACATCTTAATCACAATCTGCAATCCAAGAACATGCTTTCTGCCTATGAAACAAACAAATAAGTGTTGCTAACGCATAATGAACCTCCTGCTTTTATATGAAAGGCTTCTAACAGTTCTTGAGCAGTAACTCTGCTTCTCCTGAGAATCTGAATTTTATTTAGATACGGCTCACATTTGTGTGAATTGCAGTGGGCCGGCAAATGTGCCCGATGTGCCCCCCTTTTAGGGAGAGCACGTGTTCCCACGCATGCTCATTCACGCACCAAAATAGCGGTAATTCGTAGACTGCAGTACAAATGAACCTGACTATATCGAACCTATTTACATCCTATTATCCTGCACAGTGAAACTTCGATTATACGTCCCCCGGTTTCGCGACGACCCGCATTTTACGGCGAATCAGCTTGGTCACGGCAATGTCCTCATAAAAATAATGCATTAAAAACCTTGGTTATACGATGCAGTTTTATGACCACCCCATCTTACAATAACTTTCAGATTCCGTCCAAAAGAAAAACCACATATACTTGAATCGAACGTGAACGAAATATTCATGAGTGCAAAATATGAACTTGCGTTCCCCTAGGTTGACAATCGAAAAAGTAGAGAGTGAGACAGGATGTCTTCTTAGAATGGAAAATTTATTTTTATACAGTTGAACCCTGCTACAACGAAACTCATGGGGTGCGGAAAATATTTCGTTGAAGTGAAAATTCTGCTGTAGTGAAATCGAAAAAATATAGCTGCTAGCAAAACAAAGGAACATTTATTCTCAAAATTCGAAGAGTGTCCACTGCTTTCTATTCTTTCCCAGCAGCGTCATGATACGATTCTCAGTCATGCATAGCAAGGCCACGGTGAAAAGCACGCTGAAACAATGCCTAAAACCACCTTCGTGAATGTACCAAACAGTTGCATTAACACGTTAACACCAGCAGCTGTCCGCTGTCAAAGTGTATCCGACAACGTCGAGAGGGAGGCGGGGTATCGTGGAGCAGTGGCTTTTGCCTTATTTTATGCCAATCTTATCATCTATCACTCACGGCTAGCTGATTTTGTTGATAATGCAGATGAACAACTGCTCTGATTAGGTACCACACTGGCCAAGCGCGAATAAAATGATAAGCATTGGAATCTAAAAAGGCATCGTTGCGCGATTGTACCCAGCAGCTGCAGCAGCTGCGTGAAGGAAACCATGAACTGAGCTTCAGCTTCGGATCATCTGCAGCTAGAAGCAAGCCAATGGCAGAAGCAGAGTATTCTTATTGCCATCGGTATCGAGCAGTGGCGGCGTCCATGCTTGTTGAACAGCGGTGGTTTTTGGTGGTGCCAATGCGTGTTTTAGATTTCGTCGATGTATTTTCAGGTTCTGAAAATGCACCAGAATGTTAAAGATTAGGTTAGCTGTATGGCAATAAATATCTGAGCTTGGAATTGCATCATGAAATTTCGTTGAAGCGGGACTGCAGAAGAAAAAGTGTTGGTTGTGGCGACAATATTTATGCATTGACTCCTATGAACTGCTGACAGTGAACCATGAATTTTTAGTTGTAGCCGAAATTTCGTTGAAGCGGCGTTCGTTGTAGCAGGGTTCGACTGCAGAAGTTAATGTGCTTCCACATATGCCTCGATCATACACGTACGTATCCAAATTCGTTACCTAGTCAAGCTCTATCCACACAGAATACAGGAGTGCAACAGCTGTGCCAATTTTTGTGCGAGCTGTGCCAAAATCATTTAATTTGCCGAAATTGCACTACGCTGCACCAAAATGCTCTACCAGCCTCAAAACTTTCTCAGTTGCGCTACCGTAATTACTCGAATCTAACGCGCACCTTTTTTCCGGTTAAGCGAGTTCATAAATCGCATGCGCGTTAGAATCGAGTACGAACAAAAAAATTACGGTCAATCTATTGCCATCGCAAATCCAAAATGGCCGCCCCCTACGTGCGTTGGCATGGTGCGTCGGCTATTTCTGCCTATGTGTTTACCATGTGCGGCACTTCGTACGTGTGCTGAGAAGTTCGTCATCTAGTAGTGCATTAGCATCGACGACTTGGAAGGGCCGACTCCAAAAACTCGAGTGCACCACGATGCCGCTTTTAAAAGAAAAGTCATCGCGTGTGCAGAAACGGACGGAAATCGGGTCGCATCGTGGTCCTTCTCGAAACGTGCGTGCGGGACCGGCGGAAACAAAAGCAGAAGATTGTCGACAGCAAAGCTTCACGCAAAGGCTTCAGTGAACCACAGCAGGGTCGGTTTACGCAAATTGAAGAGCTGCTCCGCGAGTATGTGCTTGAGGAGCGAGTGGCACAGCGGCCCATGACGACAGAACTGCTCCAAGTGCGGGCTATGCAATTAGTCTTAGAAAAAAGTCTAATGCGGAGCCTGTTTAAAGCGAGCAGGTGCTGGCTAATTAACTATATGAAGAGGAAAGGCTCTTCCCTCCGAAGGGGAACATGCATATGCGAAAACTTTTGCGGAGAAGTACGATGAAAAGCTTTACAGTTTTCAGAGGTTCGTCCTAAACTTGCGGCGCAACAACGGCTACCTGCTTGGGCAAATCTGGAATGCCGATCAGACGCCTCTTTACTTCGACATGCCTGGCACCACAACTGTCGAGAAGAAGGGGGCGAAGCAAGTTCGCGTGCTGACATCGGTCCACGGTAAAACTACAGTGACTGCAATGCTCTGTTACACGTCAGATGGGCACAAGCTTCGCCTGTACCTCATATTTAAATGGAAGACAATCCCGAAAGGAATCGTTTTTTCGAGTGGTGTGATCGTGCGGGCCAGCAAAAAAAAAAATGGGTGCGCGTTGCAATCGATGTCTTACTTTTTTTTTTTTTTCGCGGTGGAAATCGGGTGCGCGTTACAATCAAGGGCGCGGTAGAATCGAATAAATACGGTAATTTCAGCGAGAAATGGAGGCCACGTTGGCCACCTGTAGTTTGCATCATTAATTAATCCTGGTATTCGGGTGTGCAGACCCTGAGCTTAAACTACTGTTAGGCCAGCATCTCGCGAAATGCGATCGCTCAGATAAAGTAACAACGCCGCACGCCCCGCTGAACGCAGCAGATATCTATTGGTGGGGCGACGCAACTTCTAGACAAAAATGTGTTGCCATAGCCAGCAGCACTTCGTGGGTCAGCGAACACAGTTAGAGCGTGCTAGGAGCTAAACCTAGAAGTGTAGGCTGCTGTTACTGGACGTGAACAAACTCTACGTGCTGCGATTGGTGGCTTTTCTGGCGACCACGTTGGTTGCCATTGCAACGGCACATGCAATAGATATGCAGTGCCGTCGCTGGGCCAACGAGCGCTAGTCAAATGCGTCTTGCAAGTGAGCCAAGAAGTTGTGCCCTAAACCTAACTTTATCATCAAAATAAAAGAGAGGAAGGGAGAGAGTGGCATTTCGAAAATTTCTTGGCCTTGTTCTAACCCATGCAGAACGCCACTTAAGCCACCTTCGCCGCAGTACACCGGTGGCCTGCGGAAAAGCATTTCAAAATTTGGAAGAGGCTGTTAGTACTAGTCACAGGACAAAGCATACCACAATTTGTTCAATTACTCATGCATGTATACGCCACATAGTTTTTCTGATGAGTAAAGGAGAGGCACAAGGCGTGTGTTGAATGTGGAAGCGCCGCAACGGTGCACGAAGAGAAAAAGTCACCCGATGGCACGCCCACTAGCCAGGTCGAAGCCAGAGATTGGTTCGAAAGAAGCTCTCGGCACCCGAGCCGCGAAGAAAAATCCCAGATCTGGCACTATGTTGTGGGGCTCCGAGCTGCAAAGACGTGGGAAACCAGCATCGCTAGCCGCCCGGTTCTGAAGGATGTTGGCATCCCGGAAGTGGCCATCGACCTCGAAGGCGCTCCCGAGTGAGGCTGCCCGGACTGGCCGCGCCCTTGCCCAGTAGTTCGTGGCGCACTAGAGCTATCCCACATCGCGCTAGGACGGGAGCAGCCCACACAAGTCAGCGAAGCCTAGCGAGCCAGAAGATTAAGACGAGGATCAGGACACCGGCAATGAGGACGAGTGGTTTGTTCGGTGGGATCAACCGACGGCGACTGTAAGAAGTGCAGCAGCCCGACGGAGGACTCGACTAAATGTCGACACGGCTAAGGGCAACGAGTCGCAATGCGACGAACTGTAAGAACATGCCATTGTTGATGACATATTGGTATAGGGCTAGCAACGGATTTAGACAGCTTACAGTTTGATCGTGTATGCGGGTTGTTATTGAGTTCTTGAGTGTTTTTGAGTTATTGAGCGATTTAGCACAAATTCTTTGTATTGGTTTTCTCCGTTCAGGATATAAAGTGTGTTTGTCTTGCCATGCCCACTCCCTCATCTCTCTCAAATACATTCTTCGCAAGCTCTCCCGATATAAATTAATGAGACAATTGTGAGTACTAATATGATCGCTGATGTCTAAAAAAGTTACTGGCAATTATTGAGGCAGTATATGATATTGCTGCAACCCTACAAAAAAATCAAAGAAAACTGTGCCACTTTTTTCTTTTTTTTTTTTTTTCAGCCACCTCCACTCCTCAGTTTTATGAATCTCCCAAATCTCAAGGTGGCCGGCTTGGCAATTTCACAGTTTTAATTTTCAGAATCTGTTGAAGGATTTGACAGGTGTGGCAAATGCCAATGTGCACTTTATGAATATTTGCTGAGTGGGGCGGTTCAAACTACTACTTCTATTGAAATAGCAGTGTTTATATTCCCTCTGTGGAAATTAGAGGATTGTGAAATTTTTTAGGTACTTCTTTTTCATACTGCTCCAAATTTGCCCTTTCGTGATAAAAAGTGAATGTTTTTTTCCTTGTAACCTCCTCTAAATTTAAATTTTTGTGCTCCAAGAGTAACATATTGCTGCTCCGAAAATTTCTCCAAATTGTATTTCAGCTGTTGCACCTCTCCGAGTACCTTCAGCCGGCCAGATAGCTGGGGAACTGGGGAGCTTTTCAGCAAGTGTCTGGCATCGTGGAATGATGATTTGATAAGCAAAGGACGCAAAGTATACACCTGTTTGTTCATTTTGAATACATCAAAGTTTCTAATCATTTAAATTCGATCCGAAGCGAATTAAAAAATTGCAATAATCATTCAAAAATTCGAAGCGTTCAAATATTTGCACAAGCCTACTAATCATGCAATGCCTAATTGCATCATGCAATGGCTTTGTTAGTACTGTACAAAACTGCAAATAAAGGAGAAAAAAAAAAACAGTTTTAGTCGCAACCTGTTCCTCCCTCCCCGCTCCAACCAGTCGGCTGGCATGTTTGCAGGATGCCATGTCTACTAAAGCCCAGCTGTCTGAGTTGCAGAAGGACTTGTGCCCACTAACCGCACATTGATGACACATTAAGGTGAAAAATTGATGAAAATTTCGCTGCCCCTAGGAACGGATCCCCCACATTTATGCTTGCACTGATCAGTGATCCTGCCCCTCTTTGTACAAGTTGGCCTTTCACCAGTTATAATTTTGGGAATACTGTTTTGTTGAATATTTGTGAAACAGGAATTAAGTGCTCAACCCGAAGTGGTTGAAAGTGAGAGGGAGAATGCCATTGTAACAATTGTTGATTACTACGCATAGCGAGTCGTGGCTAATCAGTGGGAGAACTTACATGCAGCGAGTTTTTGTTGTCTTCTTTCTTTAATAATTAGGCGGCTGGTTATTGGGTAAGGACTTTTTGTTCTACTTGGAATGACCTGATGCGACCTGTAATTTGCAGAAGTCATACGTGCCATGCTTGCCTTGTAACCAATTATGCAATTTGTCTCGTGTTTCGTAAAGAAGCCAAAATGTGACATGTCTTTGTTTCAAGAAGTTGATTAGTGGTTGCTCTCTGGATGTTGGCCTTTATGTTTTTCTGCTAACATTGAAGACAGCAAAATCATCTTAGCAGATTGAAATTTGCAGTTACATTCATGTCATATTCTGATATTGCGGTGCAAAGTAACAAGAATGAAAGAAACCTGACTCATGTTTGTGGTGTCGTTCAGCAGTGCACACCAGCTGCGACTGTGATATTATTGTGTCCAAGCAGGTCCCCCTGGGATGCCCCCGCCATTCCCTCCTCCGCCTGGCATGCGGCCACCACCTCCACCGCCACCACAGTTTGGTCAAAGACCACCGCCGCCACCACCGCCAGGATTTGGTGAGTCACTGCAGTGCCGCATATCCAACAAGGCCACCCTTCTGTCCTCCGAGTGTCTACCAAGTTCACATTTAGAGATTCCCAGAGTTGTCCAGATTCCCCCCCCCCCCCCCCCCCCGAGTTTTTTCTTCTAAAGTTCCAAGAATGATGCAGAACTCTATGCTATGTAAAGATAGGCTGGAAGTCATTTCATATTTTTAGCATGCATAAGAAAGAGAGGCATCATACAGTGACGTAGTGTTTGCCGCAGTTTGTGAAATATGCCACTAGTGGCGGAGTCGAGAATCACAATTGCTGTAAATGCTACCTTTCTATAGCAGAGTTGTACCTTTGATAGCACTCACCATTCGTGCCCCTATTCGCCCACCACACTCATGCACGCAAAACGCACCCTTTTGAGGTAAAGCTAGCTTTGCGGCTGACCATTTGCTGGCGACCGCAGCGCCACCACTTCTGCTTTATTGCCATGCCACCACCGTCCCAAACAGTCTATCATACCGGCAGAGAAATTAATATTTTTATTGGTGCTGCGATCATGTTTTGTGTAGTCTGTTTTCACTACCCATTATTTCTGATGTGCCTTTACAGCACAACAAAAATTTTATAGTAGTAATTTTGTAACTAAAGCAGTCGATAACATACAGGTTACGTATGGCTTCTCGCCCACTGGTAACAGCCAGCTAGCCACTGACGAAAATAGGACTGGACCGAATGATTAAAACATGCACTTGTGAATGTTTGAATAATCATCTCACTGGTCTGTCGAAACAGCATAACACTGTGCAAGCTCTGTGCAGCATGAAAATTATGCTACCTAATGTGTGTTTTATACCACATCTACCTAGATTTGCGTATTGAAATTCCTGTTAGCTTGTGTGATTAGTAAAAATGCAGGGTCATATTGAAGTTTTATTGCCACTCACTTTTTTCTCATCTACTCTATCTTTCAAAGCACTGCATAAAGAACTATCTGAAACGACTAATTTGGTGACTTTTATTTATCCAGAATCGTGTCTGTCAGATTTTTTCTATTTGCTAGCTAAATCAATTAAAAGAAGCTACTGCTTTTGATTGTGACAGTGCTAGTTTCATCTAAAATATCTTTTTGATGTGAAGGTGCTTAATTACCTAATTGCAACATTCCTAATCACGGAGACTACAGCAGATAGCCTCAACACACTGCATGATACTAGGTGGCACAGCAATGCAGTTTTCTGCTGCTCTGCAACTCACTGCAGATTTCACAAACTAAATTTTGGGTGCAAAGCGAATTTGAATATGGAAGCGTGAGTGAATAAAGTAGAATATTTTTTTAATACTTCTAAAATACTTTTCAAATACTTCCAAGCAAAATTGCAGAAAAAAAAGTTGGAGAGGATACTGAAGTATATTTTTATGAGATAAAAACTTGAAAGTGTTTCTTTTGGCTAGGTTGATGAAGCAATAGCGGGGTGGTGCTTCGTGGTTGTCTTACCAACTATGAGACAATGCAGAGGCCATATTGTATTTATACATTATGTGCTTTGGAGCAACCGAAGTGTTGCGGCAGCATTTGACAGGTGTAAGGGAAAGAAATTATTTCTTCAGCCTCTTCTCCTTTTTCAACTTCTGTGGAAGCTCAAGTAATGTGGTGGACAAAGATGTGAGCCGTTCGAGCCCAGAGTTCCTAATATACCTCGTAGATATCAATACATAAGAACATCTGAAACTTTAGATGCTAAAAATATTAGGCGACTGATTTTTGTCAGACTTCTGCCCAAGTTTCAAGTCCAAAACGACATTAATTGAGGGCCCACCTTGTGAGCGTGATGAACATGCGCCTATTTGTGTGTGCTCTGTTTCTTCTCTCCGCCTCTTTCAATCTTCCCGCTTCCACGTTTAGGGTAGCAAACCGGCTCTTCTTTGAACTTTGAACTTTATTATGAGTAAACAACATACATGAAAAACATGTTAGCAACATCTGGATCCTTAGCAGAATGCTAGTATGGATCCATGCAATTATAACATACATTAATTAGAGGCAGGAGAAAGAGTTGAATAATGAACGACATTTTAGTTTAAGATGCAGATTGTTTTGAGAAACATATCACTTATACACAGATACCGAACACATTGAAGAGGAAAAATCCAACTTATACACTACACTTTGAACACGTTTTTGGTTTGCATACCTAACATAATACATCTAATGTTTCTGTACATCTGGTAATAGCATTCCTGGTCAGCATACAAAACATTAGTTTAAAATTATGTCACTTTTCATCATTTCACGAAACTTATCAGTAGTCTAATAGAGCTCTTTGTAATGACGTTTGAGCATTAATGTGAAAGCATTATGTTGTTTCACTTCCACTGGTAGGTTATTCCACAATGACATTCCAACACTATAAAGTCGTCTTTCGCCATAACCATTTCTAACCAGTGGTTTTAGGAAGTTACCACAATGACGGTCTACTATGTCTTCTCTCTCTCTCTATCCTGGCTCTTGCTAAGTTATAATTTTATTGAACTGTCCTGCAAAGGTTTTGGTGACCCATGTTTCCACAATGGGACATTGAGATCTGCTGCCTTCAGTATTGCTTATATTTACATTTAGATGGAGGCAAAATGGTTGACGCCCTAGTACTAAGCAATATTGGTGCACATCAAAGAACGCAGAATTTCCGGAGCTCATGGTGTCTCTCATAATCATCTCATCGTTTTTGAATATTAAAACCCAGATACACTCAAGCCTCGTTATAATGTAATGGGACATAACAAAATAATGCATATAACAAAGTAATTGAAATTCCCCTTGAAAGCTCCATTGAGAACCATGCGTTTTAAACCTCCTTGTAACAAAGTAAAATTGACCAGTAAATGGATATAAAAAACTAAATTAGTTTATCAAATAGTCTATAAAAAAAAACGACCGTAGTGTGTTAAGTATATCGTTTTCTGCGAACTCCCCGCGCAGCCGAGACAGTCGTCCTCCTCACACAGCCAGCGGAGAGGATTGAAAAAGCGCTCAGCGAGCCAGCGAGTTGCCTTCTGTGTGCAATGCCACAACATTTTCGAAGCCATATTCGGCCATTGCAGCCACTGTTGTCAAGATTACAATGCTAAGAATGGGGTATGGCTTTCGTTAAGGCTGGCAATTCATTGAATAAGCCCTTTGAGTGTCGAATGTTTGTGACAATAGCTTTTCCAGGTGGTCAAATTAATTTTTTGCAGTTTTTAAATATATGAAGTGTGTAATGTCGGGGAAAAAATTTTTTCGTGTGAGCATTACTGCAAGATATTTTCTATTGTGTGGCATTTTTTAAAGGCGAGTCAACATTCACCGCATCATTGCCATCAGCACTATCAACACGCGTCTCCGTTCTCTACTTGGAGCAACGAGTTGTTCTGGCAAGCACATGGCATCTTCTCTGCGTGTAGTTGCGTTGGGCAGAGTAAACTGAGCATTCAAGGAGAACGACAGTATCTAGTGAACGTTGGTAATGAATAAGCTAAGTGCGCCACCAATAAACATGGGAGTTAACTTACACCGCTCCTGCTGATGAAGATAAAAACAAATTCCATTGCAATCCCACAGAAGAAGCAAAACCACTTATAGGCGTTCCTTATAGGCATTGCCACAGTCTGCATGACTCAGTTCTGTTTATTATTGCAAGAACGCTGCACACTCATTTCAAACATTTCTTTATAAGTGAGGCAGCACCAGCCAGTGAACATGTATCAAAATTACTTTCAAGTAGCGGGTCAAAAATGTACTCGAGAAGCATGTGTTGGGGCTTGGTTGGTACGACATATTACATAAACTTAAATTGTCATTTGGACATGTGCATTGTTCTAGGAGGCAAGATAGTGATTTCAACAAACCAGTTGTTAGTCTGCATTCGTCCCTTCTGCTTCTACTCTGGTGTCACATCCCAGGTGAAGTATGCATAAATATGTACCCTTACTACAAAGACACTACGGCACAGAAAAACCGCCACCGTAGATATACGACAAAAACACTTAAAGGGTTAAAACTTTACTGTATAACCTTCAGAAAACGAACTACGGGCATCAGTTTCGCACAATGTGCACAATGGTGAGCTGATAGGCATATGGCAACCGTTTCACGTGCCTCGTCATGTGCATTCAGACAGGTGATGGGAACAGATTTTCATGCAGCCTGCGTAAACACCGCATTGTAACCGGCTTGTTTGGTGACTACTGTGCAGGCATGCCTCCTCCCCCTGGTGCACGGCCGCCGTGGCCCCCAGGTCCCCCAGGTGCACCGCCACCACCTCCACCACCGCCACCAACCAGTCACAGCGGACCGATGCCACCACCCCCGCCACCGATGCCCTCGGGTCCACCACCACCGCCGCCACCACCCACCAGCTCCTGAGGCTGTGTGGTACAGAATGGGGTTGCTTTGCTTTTGTGCATATAATAAATGGTTCGGGGCACTGGTGTTCACTTGGCCAATCTGCCTTAAGGGGCCCTGCAGCACTTTTTGCTAGTAGTCATGGAATGAATTGACAAAAGAAACTTATTGCCTCACGGATTGACTGCTGCAAAAATCTTAGAATCCCTCCAGTACAAGCAATTGCAGCAAAAATGCTGCAATTGCATCCTCTCTTTTCTCATCCTGACGAAAGCTCTGGAAAGTAAGCAGAAAGGGATCGCACGAGGAAACAAGGTACGACATCATCATGCTTCGTGACCTTGAGCACTTTTTTCTTTCTCTCCCTCTTTTTTTTCAAACGCATGACTGCTCAGTGTGATTGCACGTACAGACATGTCACAGTGGCTGGAGTAACTCCCGAGTGCTCATAGGCCCAAGTATCGGCCATTTGCATGATACTTGGACCTATAGCACAATGATTTTGGCGTATTTACATCAATTGTCGGAAGAAGAGAAAGCAGTTTTTAAATGACTTTGAGAATTTATTGTACTATAATATTTTGCTCTATAATATTTGACTCGCGTGACCACTGATTGGCAGCGTTTTCTGACAACACAAAAAAAAAGTGTTGCGGGGCCCCCTTAAAATGCAGTTTCGTGGCAGCAGTTTGCCGTGAAACCACACCAGAGCCAGTCATCTCAACCATCTTCTGTTGTTCACCACCAGCGAAACCTACTATGATAAAGCTCTTTATCTTCAAAGGTGCCCAAGACAAAGAACAAAACAAAAAAAATGCCCCCACCTTTCTGAAGAGAATCATGAGGAAATGCAAATGCATTGTGTAGCGCCCATAATGTTGTTTTGCATGTGAGAATACAGCGTTAAAAAAATAATGTGTTTTTTTTCTTTCACTGTGTAGCCGATAGCATCATTTGCCGCACGTGGGGTTTTTATGTCGCGAGAAACGAGCATGGGTTTCCAGCTCTAGTAGCTAGCATGCACGGTTAAAAAATGGCGTGAAGTGAACAAAAAAAGAGTGTTCGCTGCTCGGCATTGGCGTTTCACAGCGGCGTCTCGAGCACACATTTCCGGATGTTCTTGAGAGGCACCCAGCCAGCAAACAATTGAAAGTGAGGCACGAGCGGACGGGAAAGTGGGGCACAAGGGGGAGAGAGCGAACGGCGAGAGGAGCGGCGAAGCACTGGACCTACCCTCTCCTACACTCTCGCACGACATGCTCGAGTTGCTAGGGGCGAGGATAAGCACACGCACCCGCAGCTCTTGCTCGTAAGAGAGGGGAGTGAAGCAAAGAGATAGCACCTGCCGGCGCGCGGATGCCGCGCACAGCGCCTGACATTGCCCGACTAAGAAATAGATTTGCATTTAAAAAAGACAAGATCCAATGACGAGTGTAACAATGTTGTGAGCTTGGCTTCGTGTGACCTGCATTTCCTTCTGGAGCTGTGCAAGTAGCAAAATTTTAGGTGCAAAGTGAATTCATATAAAGTTTCAGGGCCAGTCGAATACTTTTGTAATATTTTTCAAATACTTTGATGCGAACCCACTTGTAAAAAAGCTTATTCTTATGAGTTATGAATTGGGTCACTCCACTGACAGACGTCCTGGCCAATCACCTCAAATGTATTTGAAAAAGATAGTGCAGATTTGTTACACTGCTGCAGACAGTGATTGTCTGCAGACCTGCAGTGCCTACATGACAAACACGAAAACAGAAAAAAAAAATAGTGCCATTGCCAAAAGCCATTGATAACTCGCACCTCTTCGCTTATGTGGACTTCACCGTAGTAATACTGTGTGCAAAAAACTTGTTGAAGTGTTGTTGAAATTCCAGACGCAATGTTGAACAACCATGAACCACTACTTTAATGTTGCACATGTAACATCTTCATTGAAGATTCAAGCCACTCCTAAATGCAACAACTGTGAAAATGTTTCATCAACTCAGCACCAACCTACAACTTTGATCGTCCGCAGCCACTACCGAAGTGTCAGACAGGTAACGCTCGCGAGGACTAGCATGTGGGTTGTCACTTGGCAAGCCATTGCGGGAAGTTTGCTCTAGACAACAAGGATACTGGGTGTGGATGTCGCACTCCTTGGTTAAACTGCAGGCAGCACGCATGAAACAAAGTTTCGTTTCATGGTTGGGCGAACACTGACGCCGCCTATCCTAAAGAAAATGTCTTTCAAACTGGTAAGTTCACTTGCTGGTGACAAAGGCCAGAACAGAGTGTGCTAGAACTTTTTAGTGGCACTAACAGCTGCCTCGGCATGGGCCTTTAAGCGTGGAACGATGCAGCAGCATTGGTGTTGACTAATCATTCCGGGCATATGGTTGATGGTTGTGCCACATATGCGTTGGTAGCTCTTGTCATGTCTGTAGTACGCTGCCTAGGGCAATGTCCTATTTTTTTCTTTTCCTGCTATAGCTATGCAGGAGTTCACAAATATTTTTGTGAAAGTTAAGGTCATATTAAGGATTATTATTATTGCAGTTGTGATCATCATGAAGTGGCATAGTGCAGTACTGTACACTTTACAAATAGAAACCCACTAACTGGCACACATAGGAAGGCAAAAAGAAAAGATTAATACTTTGCACACTGAACGAGTAATTCTTGGCCCATCTCGCGTAAAACGCCAACACTAGAATCAAATACGGGTCAGGTTGCTTTAGGTTGGGTTCTATGTGTGGAAATGAAGAAGCATGTTTTGCAGACATTGTTTGAAGCCTTAAAAAAAAAAAAAACTCTCTTGACCTTCAAAAGATCTGAATGCATTCATTTATTTATTTTACCCTCAGTGTACACACAGTACATTTCAGAGGGGAAGGGCATGCACAACAATGAAAAACAAGGAATACAAAGCAAATGGCATAAAAATATTGTCACTAATTGGGGTACAAAGATGAATACTCCTAACAACTCGCATCATAATAAAGCAAATGATTACACTAATTTTATTTTTATTACATGGCGAAGGTGCAAAGCAATACAAATAAATTGTTCAACAAACATACAGGGGTTAATTAGGTAATCATTGTTTTAAGGATATTCTTAAATTGAATGGATTATTCATTGATGCTTGTGATTGATGCAGGCAAGGAATTATATTCATTACAAGTTCTTGGGAGATATGATTGGGCATATGTTACTGTGTTGCAATGAGGGACTGTGACTTTTTGTTGGTGATTACGGCGAAGAGAAATGAAGGGAGCAGCTTGGATTAAACGGGAACATAGTTTCGGATTATGATAAAATCCTTTATGAAACAGGCAAATGCGAGTGCGCTTTCGGCGGGTAACTAGTGGGTGATTAATTGTACTATGCACGAAAATTCTTGTACGTTTCTAGGCAAGGTTCTGTTGGCGTTGCATAAGTCAGTTGCCAGATTTAGGGGTCACTGTTGCCAGACTGCTGCCAAACCTGGCTCAGAAATTTGCCCCTGTGTTTGTGCCTTCCCCGTGAGGGCTCTGTGTCGTCTGTGGTGCATTTTGTGAGTGGGTGTGCGACATTGGCCATTTTAATTAGTGAAATGAACGGTGCATTGTAGAAGCTTGAGTGCGTTATCTTGCTGTGTACGCAGCTGTGCAATTAAAAGGTCAGTTTTGATCGTGTCTCAGGATTATGGAATCAATGCAGAAATATGAGTACACAAGGGGAACTGAATATCAAGCTGATAGGCAATAAACATACATTTATTGAAATTTTGGTCGTTTGTGCTTATTGTGGGTGGAGCCCTGCAGGCGACGGCGGCTTGCCGGGCAGGGTCCCATTTGCAGGTATGCGCGAGTCGCGCTTAATTCGTCGCTCCAGCAGCGGTGATAAAGCAGCTTTCTAGGCACATATAGCTGTAGCACATTCGACATACCCCAATCATCCAGCCTTGGCACGTTGGTTCTTCTTATGTACACGAGTCCGAATGATATGTCTTGTGCTGACACAGCTAGGGACTTCCTACTTCTGAGACACGATCAGAAAAGAGAAGCGCGCGCACCGCCTACTGCGAATCTGTTCAGTTTATTCAGAAAATGCGTCGTCGTGCCCAGTTGACTAGGTACGCACAGCTACGGAGCCACGCTTCAGCGACAAGAGTTTGACGCTCACCTCCAGGGCCTGTGTAATGTGAGAGGACCTCGGGGGGTGGTAGAATGCTTGCCGGCGATTGGCATGCGTTCACTATCGCCGATCCCCGTAGTTCTCTGGGCGGCCGGGGCGTGGTCTGCTCGGGTGATGTCTGTAGTGGCCCCGACCTCCACACTGGAAGCGTACCAGGGGTTCCTGCTTGTGCCTCCTGCACTAGAGTGGGCGGCGGCCGCTACGGGCTGACCTTGGGTCGAGGTGCCCGGTGTGGTTGTCCCAGGTTCCTGGGTTATTGACGTGAAGGCGGACGGAGCAGACAAATTGTGGTGGCTGAATGAGCCCTTGGTGGGGCTGTCGGCGAGGCCATCAAGTTAGACCGACCATGCCACGCACGGGACGGCTCGAGAGTGGATTCGGGAGAAGGCGGTGGCTGGTATGTGAGCTCCGCCAGCATTGCGGCCTGAATATCACCCACTGCTCTAGCGATAACGTCGAGTGAAGGGAATGAGCGACCCCTTAAGTACGCCTGAAAACGCAGATGCGACTGCCTAACTACCTGAGTCACTCTTTCCGCTTCCACTTCCGAAAGTTCGCGCGGTCGTAAAGCTCCTGTAGGGACTGCATGTATTCTTGAAGGCTTTCATCTTCAGCTTGTGTACGCCTGCGAAGTTCATCTTTCATGCGAACGACCTAGTCGGGTGGAAGAAATTCGGCACGGAATAGCTGCTCAAAATGGGACCAACTATCGAAAGGCTGGCGGCGACGCCAACGTGCGGCAGAGCCGGACAGGACAACGGGCAGAACGCGTAGCAGAAGGGTCTCATCTGTGAGAGCTTGTGCGTTGCAATAATCTTCTAACTCTTGCCAAAAGTCTGCGATCGATTTTTGTCCGTGTGTCCCTCGATCGTATGTATGCACGGCTAGCGGTAGGCGAAAGTTGTCGTCCGGTGTAGCTTGGCGTTCTAGCAGCGCGGTTAGCTGCTCGACAATGTGAGACGTATCTTGTGCGGGCGGATCCTTTTCCGCCTTGTCGGGCATTATATTAGACTTTAGGCCCATAAGGTTTTCATGTTCACGAGCTGTAATTGTACCGGAACACAAGGGCATGGGAATGCACGAGGAAGGCATTTGAGATGGGCTGACTGGACGGGTGCCGTATGCGTGCGCTCCTCATGTTATGAAACAAACTGCAACGAAAATAATCAAAACTGAGCAAACAACGTTGGATAAAACGAAAGGAAGGTCAACTACATGCGAAAACCACGTTGGGCACCAGATGAATGCCCCGCTTTGCTCAGGGGGGTCAGTGAGCCAAAATTCGCAGTGCACGAGCCAGCAACGCAAGGAATGAGAACCGCCTTTAATGCACGACTCAAAATAATCACAAACAGCCCTTCCGAACTGGCTCAACACGGCACGAACGCACACAGGAGGACCGAAAACCCAGAACAAACACTCCCCGCAGACTGGCGGTCAATGCAACATACGCAGCGAAACAACGGCAGGAAAGCCCGTGCGAAACATAACAGCGGGAAATCAAACCCGCAAGCAACTCGCTGGAAAAAAAAAGTAGTCATTGACTCGCGTTAGTCGGTGCCCCAAGCCCACATGGCCTCAGCTCTGTAGTACGCACGGAGGAAAAACCAGCACTCTATGTAGTTTGGCCTCTGTGATGCCGTTTGCATGTTGTACGAACACCTGCAGAACAGCTACAACAGAATGCTAGTTGCGCTGAAACAAGGTGGGCTCACATATGTGCCCATGGAGACACACAAAGAATGTGCTGCTGC